TTCAAGACTACCATTGAAAAGGATATTTCCTGCATAGGAATGAATTGTTAATAATACTGTAATCCCTGTATTCCAGATACGTAAAGAGCGAACACGAATATGTGATGAACATTCTCAATGATATTGACTAGTTTTTTAAAGTCAAAAATGTAGATTCACAAACTCGAATGTGATATGAAATCAAAAATTCTCAAGTTGTGATATTCTACCATTCTGTAATATTTTTTTGAGTAGTCAATTCATAAACAAGCCATTGAATTGGTGCATGCACTTTACTTGTTCTTATAGAGAAATGTTTACAATGGTCATTTGTACATCAGCCACTGCAGAGTAGTATGTAATGTTGCGTAATGTTAAGATAACACAATATCACACAATCTCTTCTAACCTGTGCATCAACGTGTAAATGTATAATAAACTAAAAAACGTTCATTTCTTCATTCCTGGAAAAAGACATGCATATCTCCAAAGGCGAGTCGTTTAAAAGTGGTTAGTTTTATATATCATAGTTCATATGATTTAATATTTCTGTTAGTGGTAGTAGATAGTAGTTGATTTTTTTTCTAATTATAGAAATGAAAAATATATCAATGTTTCAGATACATAATGATGAATTCAAATTATTTGTCAATACACACTGATGTTGATAACATCATTTTTAATTTCCAACTAATTTTCAATCAGAAAAATATATGATAAGTAATATTTGACTAACTTTTGTCTGAATACAATAGCAGTATGTGTACATGTACATATACTTATCATTTATTAACATACAAGACAATGATTATTTCGATTCCATTGGTTGTGTGTCTGGAGTAGAGCGACCAATCTTTTCATAATTACTTGTGTCCTGTTGCTTGGTAACTGCAGGTTTGTTTAGTGATTGATACTGACTAGCATCACAGGGCTGTAATGATTCATATTCACGTGAAATAAGCGTTTTTTCCAATGCTTGATAATCACTGGTAACTTGGGGTTTTAATGTTTGATAGTCACTCGTTGTACACATATTAGCAACTCCTTCACTTGATATTTCAGAAACATGTGTTTGTAGTTCCTCCTCAGCAGTTGAACCACGTAGATCTGTCGTGTTTTCGTCCTTAATATCACTGAGTTTAATGTCCATGTTCAGAACATTTCTTCGTAAGTCATTGATCTTTCTCACACTATTAATATGTTTACGCTGATATATGACAATAACTACTACGGTTACAATCAATAATAAAAATGCCACAACAGATAAACTGACTACAATAAGAATGATATTAGGACCCGACGTCTGGTCCATGTAAGACAAATATCCAATGAAAAAGTCAAGGTTTCCAACAACAACCTGGAGAAAA